CTGTGGGGCCCTGAGGCCTTTGCTTGGCGTTCGTTGATGCCTCCCCCCTCCCGCCTCCCCGCGAGGCACCCTGTTTCCTCCTCTCCCCCCCCCACCCCCCGTCTTCCGTCTTGCTGACGCCGTCCCCCTCCCGGCCAACGCACGTCGCGCAGGTCACCATGCTGTCCCGCTCTCTGTCCGTCGCCCAGGGCATCGTTGCCTCGACTGGTCGTCGCGCCGCCCTGTCGGCCGCCCAGTTCCACACTTCCCAGACCCCGGCCGCCATTGTGCCCTACCTGCTGACCGATGTCGGCGAGGGTATCGTCGAGTGCGAGGTCCTCAACTGGTGCGTGGTCATCACTCCTCCGCGCTCAATCCACCACCTGTATTTTTCCCCGTTCCTCCCGTCCCTCCCGTCCCTCCTGCCCCCCCCCATCCCCTACGCTCTCCTTCCCTTTTGCTGACTCTGCATCTCTGCATACTAATGCATCCCCCTCCCTCCCCCGCCCCTTCCCAGGCACATCAAGGAGGGCGACTTCGTCAACGAGTTCGACCCCATCTGCGAGGTCCAGTCTGACAAGGCCGCTGTCGAGATCACCAGCCGCTACACCGGTACCGTCAAGCGTCTGATGTACAACACCGGCGACATGGCTCGTGTCGGCCACCCGCTCGTGGAGATCGACGTCCCGGAGACTGGTGGTGCCGCTGCCTCTGCTGCCGCCCCCGCCGCTGCCGCTGCCCCGGCCGCCGCCTTCACCGCCACCTCCGTCGCCGAGGCTGTGCAGTCCATCTCCGCCACCCCTGGTGCCGTGGCCGCCTTCGCTCTGGCCACCCCGGCTGTTCGCCGCATTGCCCGCGAGCACAACATCGATATCCGCATGGTCCCCGGCACCGGCAACAATGGTCGCGTTCTGAAGTCCGATATTCTGGCCTTCGTTTCTGGTGGCGCCCCGGCCGCCGCCGCCGCCCCGGTCGCCGCCGCTGCCCCGGCTGCTCCGGCTGCCCCGGTCACCCCGGCTGCCCCGCCCAAGCCGGTTGCCGGCGACGAGCTCCGCCCCATCCGCGGCTACCAGCGCGCCATGGTCAAGAGCATGAACGAGTCTTGGAGCAAGGTCCCTCACTTCGGCTACTGCGACGAGGTGCGCTCGGGCATCGGGGCATCCCGCTGGTGGGAGCCCTGCCCCCTTTTCTTTTTTCCCTTCACACGCCCGACATGTGTCTTGTCTGATGTTTTGTTCCTGCTTCGCTCCCCCTCCCCCCTCCCATTCACACTAACCACTTGACCTTCACCTTGTTTTTCCTCCTCTCCTCTCTGTCTGTCCTTGCTCTTTCTTCGTCCCTTTCCCCCCTGTTGTCCCCCCGCTCCTCCCCCCCCCACCCACCCCCCACCCAGCTCATCCTCAACGACCTGTCCGCTCTTCGCAAGGCCCTCTCCCCGATCGCCGCCTCTCGTGGCGTGGAGAAGCTCACCTACATGCCCTTCTTCATCAAGGCCGCCTCGCTGGCTCTGCGTGACTATCCCACCCTCAACAGCTCGGTCTCCGCCGATGAGACCACCCTTCACATTAAGGCTGCCCACAACATCGGCGTTGCCATGGACACTCCCAACGGTCTGATTGTCCCGAACATCAAGAACGTCCAGGACCTCTCCATCATCGACATTGCCCAGGAGCTAAAGCGACTGCATGACCTGGCCATGCGTGGTGCTCTCGGCGCGGCGGACCTTTCTGGCGGCACCTTCACCATTTCTAACATCGGTGCCATTGGCGGCACCTACATGAAGCCGATCGTCGTCCACCCGGAGGTGTGCATCGGCGCCGTCGGTCGCATTCAGAAGCTCCCCCGCTATGCCGCCGATGGGTCTCTCTACCCGGCTGATGTCATGCAGGTCTCCTGGTCCGCGGACCATCGTGTCATCGATGGCGCCACCATGGCCCGCTTCTCTCGCCGCTGGGGCGAGCTCCTCCAGACCCCGCAGTCTCTGCTCCTGGAGCTGAAGTAAAGCCCAAGGCCTTCCTCTTGCCTGCTCTCCTGCCCCTTCCTTCCCCCCACCGCGCCTTTGTGCGCGGGCACGTACACACGTGTCTTGACATCCTGAGAGTCTGTGGCCGTTCGCGGTGGCGCGCCCCCTCCCTCCGATCCCCTCTTCACCTCCCTGGAGCGGATGTGTGACCTACTGGCTTTTCATGCCCGCCTCTCTTCCCCTGGCCCATCCCCCCTTCCTTTGGCCGGGGGAGAGGTGTCATGCTCGCCTGTGTGTCGTCTTGCCACCCTTCCTCCCTTCCCCTCTCTGTACTCCCCCTTTTTTCTCCAGATATAAATAGTACCAGCTCGTCTGAAACAGTGTGCCTGTTGATTTGGCATGTGTGTGTGTGTGTGTGTGTGTGTGTGTGTGTGTGTGTGTGTGTGTGTGTACGTGCTCCTCCGCTTTGCATCCTTTGTCCTTAGCCGGAACAATGGCAGCGCGCCGGCGTATGTACACAATCTGCATTCGGGAAACGAGGCAACTTCGGTGTTGTTGGTATGTTGTATTTCGGGTTTTGATGGTTTTTCTCCCTTGGGACTCAAAAGAGGGGACAACTGCGCGCGCCAGCCACTGGGATTGGCTGGCAGAGCGCAGTGGGGGGCTCTCTGGCCAGTTCGACGAGGGCCTCTTTTCATATGGGGGCCATATATCACGCCGCGCCACATGCCCATCACTCCTCGTCCGTGTCGTTGGTGTCATTCACCTCGACGTCGGCCTTGGCACCGACATCGGCGTCACCGGTCGACGGGCGATCGACCGCAGTGGCGGGCTCCGGCTCGGCTACGCCGCTCTTGACAGTGCCAACCAGCGACTCCTCCATCTGGCGGATAATCGCCTGGCGCCGAGCCTCAGCCTCCTGCGAGGTGGCTTCATAGTGGGCAAGCTTCTCCTGGAGCTCGGCCAGCTCCTGACGCATGCGGATCACCTGCGGCTCGAGCTCTCGCGCGGCGGCAGTCGCACCATGTGCCGATTCCACCAAGTCTTCCCACCGCCGGGCAGCCCGGTTGATTCGAGTTGCTGAGGTGATGTGGAGGAAGCGACGCGCGCGATTGGTGGACGCGATGCTGGAACGCGACCGAGAAAGCTCCGCATTGCGTCGATCCAGCAGGGCCTGCATATTGAACAAGTGCGCGGGCCAGGCGTCGGCGCCAAACTTCTGAAGAAGCTCAAGGTTGGAGATACTTTCAGCACACACCCACACCCACACAAGCAGAGGGAGGGAGGGAGGGAGAGAGAGGGAGAGAGAAGAGCGGTGAGTCGGTGGAGGAGGGGCCGGGTGTCAGTTGACGGGCAAAAAGAAAGCAGAGCCACGGCGACGAAAGGCGAAAGCCCAACCAGGCTGGCTGGCTTATGGCGAGTACACACCGGATGTGCTGATGCGAGAGCTGGGCCTCGGCATTCCGGACGGCACGCTCCCAGCAGGCCGGGTCGGTGCGCTCCTTCTGAGCATCGGCCTCAGTGCCGGGCTCGGCCGCGGGGTCGGCAATCACCGCCGCACCCGACCCGGGCTGTGGCAACTGCAAGCGGGTCCGATCCAGGCCATGCTCCATCGGGAGACCACGGCGAATGCGTTCCATCTCGGCTTGCAAGGCCGGGTGGTCCTGAGGGGGGGGGGGGAGAGCGGGGCAGGAGAGGTCGGCCCGAGAGAGAGAGAGAGAGAGCACATGCAGAAAGGCAACACTGCTCGTTAGCACACAGACTGACCGGCATGCGATCAGAAGGGCGAGGGGCGAACCTTGAAGAAATCACCCTCTTCCGAAAGGCCCAGCGGCGCAAGGTAGTCCGACCGGGGGGGGTTGTGACGCATGGCTGCCTCAATCTGACGCCGAACGGCAGCGCGCTCCTCTGATTGGCGGCACGGACTCTTGGTGTTAGAGTGAGCCCAGACGCATGTATATGTGTGTGTATGGAGGGGAGGGCATTGGCGCGGATGGGCGTGGGCGGCAAGGAGAGAAGCAAGTTGGGCGTACGCGGCTGCAGGGCATCACCCTCGGCATAAGGCAGAGCGTCCAGATGGATCTCAAGCTCCTGCGACGTCGTGTGTGCAAGCGACATGGCCAAGAAAAAGGGGCGAAAGGCCGAGATGGGCGGAGAGAGAGGAAGGGGAGGAGAGAGAGAGAGACGGAAGCGCGGTGGAGGAAAGGCAGGCCGGGGTGACTAGGAGAAAAGCGAGAGGTCGAGGGGAGAGGCGCGACGGCGGATGTTTGCGAGTGGAGGAGGAGGGGGGGGAGGGAGGGGCGGGAGAAGTGACTCGTCCTCGCCGAGGGGCCCCCTCTGACGGTGGGCGCCTTTTCAACGCCCGGGCTGCTGGCAAGGCCTCCGCCACCCCGCGCCCCCTCCCCCCGGGAACAAGAGCTGAGTGTGTGTGTGTGTGTGTGTGTGTGTGTCTGGCAAAGACAACCATCGCCGGCCCCTGCCCGGACGCCGCCCCTCGGCCGGAAAAGGCAGTACGCACGCATGCGGACCCGCGGTTGGCGGGGAAGCGCTGCTGACAACGTTACGAGCTATTGTATTGGATATGTGCCAACGCTTGGTCTACATGATTTCATTGGCAGCAGCCTGATTCACCAGCGTCGCCCGGTGCTGGAGATTCGGCTCCAGGCGGTCGATCAGGCCGAAGTCCTCGAAGGCCACAAACGGATCGCCCACTTGGAAGGCCCAGTTGCCGGGCTGCTCGCCGCCATTGCCGACAGCCGGCCCGGTTGTGGCCGAAGACGCACCGACTGGCCCGCCATTCGAGCGGAACCACGCATCGGCGTACAGACTGCAGGACACCGCAATCGAGGCGTCCTTCACCACGGCCACCTTTAGCACATCGCAATTGAAGCTAGCCAGGAGATTGGTGTGCAAAGCCCGGCCAGCACCGAGCAAGATGAGAAGCGTGTCCGAGGTCTCCCGTGGTGGGGTGGCCGAGGCCAGCGATGGCCCGGTCAGGGTGATCGGCGGGGCTGGCGGCATCGGGCCGACGTCAGGCTGGGAGTCAGCGCGCGTGGATGCCGCCGTGGCATTCGCTGTTGAGCTGACGGCCGCCGGTGCCCGGGGCGTGGGGGGGCCCCGCGGAGTGGTGGACCCAGACTCCGGCACGAATCCCGGCGTGGCGATTTCACTGAGGAGACTTGAGACCCGAGCCAGACTGAGGCAGGTCCCGCCGGTGCCGGTTGGGATGACCTGAAGGCGCCTGTGTTTTTTTTTCCGAAGTAAATAGCGAGGTGGGAGGGGGGGGGGGGAGGACATAGAGGAGGACACAGAGGGTGAGGTATGTGAGAGGCAGTCGTATAGACAGCGGCAGAAACGGCAACGGCAGCGGCCACGGCAGCGGCAGCGGCGGCAAAGCACGGGAGATCCCCAGCCCCTCCACCCCGAGGGCTGGAACCTGGGCGCCATGGAACGGAAACACCAGCCGGAGAAAGAAAAAAGAACCAAATCATGCGCGACAACGTACTCCGAGTGGAATGCCCCCCGGAGAACCGGGTCGACCGGGCGATCGGGATCATCCTCGGTGGCCAGCTGCAACAGAGATTGAAGCTCATGGCAGGTGATGTCGTCGGACGCGGGATACGAGTTGGCGGCCAGGTACACCACCGGGGCTGGGACATCAGTCGAAGCCCCGGAGGCGGACGTCGCCCCAAGCACCGGCCCATCATAGGACAGGAGTAGGCGTGCGAAGGGCAAGGCTCCAAGGACCGCACATGCTCCGGCATTATTGACGCAGATGATCACGCGCTTCCAGCGACCGGTAGACAGACCGAGCAACAGCGACCGGCCAGCCAGCGACGCCAATCGCAAAGGGGCAGACACTTGCTCATCGGCACTCGCCGGAGGGTCTTCCGCATCGGTGCCGCAGAACATCAGCTGCTCCCGAAGGCGCTGGACGCTGGCGGAAAAGGCGTCGCCGGCCGTTTCGCTGGTCCAATCGTCGGCCAAGTCATAGATGGCCGACAGTTCCACCGAGCCGGATGCCCGATCCGAAACAAGCAACCGGCACAGCCCGGAGGCCAGCCACCCATACCAAGCCAGCAGGGCCGGCTGGTGAGCACGGACCAAACCCAGGGCCTCGGTTTCGCCGATGCCCGGGACATTGCTGGCGGCAGCCAATCCGGCGGCCAGCCATTCGGCACACTCGGCCGCCGGGGTCGGCGGCCCGCCCTTCGGGTCAATGTGCTGGGGCAAAAGCGACAGGGCGCGCAAATTGCGATGGAGCTTCAGATTGATCAGCGGGTCGGCCGCGGCAAACTCATGCAGACACTGCGCCATGCAAACACGGATCACAGCCGAACGGCGAGCAAGCAGCCAAGAGCGAGGGACAATTCCGGCATGCAGATGTGATTAGTCGGCCGGAATGGTCAGGCACAGAGCTGGGGACAAACAAGAAAAGAGGGCCTGCACTGGCCAAGACCGAACCCACCTGCTCCTGGAGATTGAGCAAGCTTGCGATGCTTAGCCAGCCGTAGGCGGCCGGCTGCGCTTCCAGCCGGTCCAGAAGATACGTGAAAGACCGCTCAAAGGCATCGCAGCGCCCTTGCACCAAGGCCAAGTCCATGACCGGCAGCCGAGGCAATTGCGAAGCCAAGCGCTGCTGGGTCGCCGTCAGCCCGGCGCCATTGGCCGCTGCCAGCCGGCTGTTGGTCAGTGCCTGCAGGGTCTGGCGCGAGACGCGCTCCACCAGACGCCGGAACACCGCCAGCCAGTGCCGCCGGAGGATATCCGCCGCAGGGGTGATGGCGGCCAAATCCAGCGTCGCCGCCCGATAGGAAGACCGCTTGCGCAGCAGCGGGAAGGACACCAGCGGCTGGGCCGCACGCTCCAAGACACCGAGCGCCGGCAGGCGATGGGGCAGGCGGATGGCCGTCGGCGGGGCGGCCGGCGCCACGGCCGGGCCCCCGCCAGAGCGCGGGGAAAAGTTCTCCTGGAAGCCGGACACTCCGCCGGAGCTGCCCTGGTGCAAGCCCCCCAGCGCCAAGGCCTGGGCCTCGACCGCGTCGGCCGCGGTCGCCGCCTCCAAAAAGGCCCCCAGGGCGCCCAGATACCCATCGTGCCGGAGGAAACGCGCTCCCACCTGCCCGCCAGACCAATAGGCCACGGCACTGGAGATCGAGCGCAAAGTGGCCGCATGTCCACGCAGGAAGGACCCCCCGAAGTAGATGGTGTTGATGTTGTGCGCCTGTGCGGTCAGGTAGGCAATCTGGCCGATGTTGTTGGCCACCATCAGCAGGGCCGACTTGGCCAGATCCGCCGGCGAAAAGCGCCGGCGCCGAGCGCACGCATGCGAGCAGGGACCCACCGCCGAGGCGTCCCCCGCCTCATGGCCGGCATCCTCGCCGAATGTGCCCCCAGGGCCAGCATGGGCAGCCGACCCGGAGTGGGTGCAGCTGGCCGGGGCTCCCGGCGAGTCTGGCTGCCAGACCTTGCCAAAGGACGAGGCGATGGTTGTGGCTTTCAGCCCGACGGCCGTGTAATCCGCACCATAGATATCCCCGACAAGCATGTCCACATTGCTATCCCGGACAAAGGAGGACAAGGCCCGCCGAAGCAGAGGGGAGGTGCGGGGGAGGTGCAGGGGGGACGGGGGCCGCACAGGACGCAGCAGGTCAGCCAAGTGTGTGAGAGAGCCCATGGCCCAGGACGATGGCAGCAGGATGACCACAGGGAGGCCAAGGGAAATCCACCCGAAGGGCAGGACGAGAGAAGCAGGCATACCGGTTGTCCCCGCGCATGCTCAGGGAGAGCATCGAATCGAAATCCACACAGTCGGTCAGCAGGCTGAGCAGCCCCCAGAGGGTGCCACCACCAAGACTGGTGCCGCCCACACGCTGGAAGGAGTCGGGACCGGTGACCAGCAGCAATGACACGCCCGAGCCAATGTTCACCAGCAGATAGGGGTACATGGTGGCCGGATGTTCGCGAGCCGGGTGGTAGCGCACTTGCGGCGGGGCGTCGATGTTGTCCTCTTCCTCGCTGTCCGAGCCCAGGTCCTCCACGGCCCCGGAGGCGGCCGCGGCGCCGGCCTCCCGCTCGCGCAGGGAAAACACCTCGCACGGCACCTCGCGGAGGAGGAAGTTCAATCCCCGAATGAGGGCCAGCATCTCATCACAGGCAACAAGCCGGACCCCGAGTTCGGCCAAGAAAAGCTGGCTAAACTTGTGGGCCCCGCCGCCGGTGGCCCGGAGCTCAATGATGTCTCCGTCGCCCTGGGAGGAGGGATCCCTGGTGGGGGGAAGTCCGGCAGCCCGGCGACAGGCCGCCACAAATGGCCGGAGGAACTGCACCAAGCGGTGGATGTCATGCGTGGCGAAGCGCTCAAAATGCAAGCGCCCTCCGGCCGGCAGGTAGTCGCCTCCCGGCAGCAGCGCCGGGGCGACGGCGGGCTGTTGATTGGGATTCCGGCGCCGGCTGAAATACACCACCTTGGACAACGACCCGCCAAGGTCCAAGCCCAGCAGGGAAACATCCTCGTGCTGGAGACGGTGCCGGAATTGTCACAGGCGGAGAGGGAGTCAATAAGGGGGGGGGAGGGGGGGGGGGCGAGGGCGGGAAAGGAGGCAATCGGAGGGCCGGGAAATCAAGTGGACGAGAGAAAGGTAGAGGCCATGAGCCAGCAACGTCAGCAGAAGTGTGCGTGAAAGTTCACAGGTATAAATGTGTGTGTGCGTGTGTGTGCGTGCGTGCGTGCGTGCGTGCGTGTGTGCGCTCGGGACGGGCCGGGGCACATGGCCGTGTACCTGGTAGGGAAGGTAGATCTCATGCGTCCCATCGGCCCCCTCGCCCGCAACATACGGATCAGTCGACAGGCTGGAGGTTGACCCTGCTGCGAGGAGCTTCTCACAGAAGTACTCAACAGATTCGCCCCCGGGCCCTTGGGATGGAGGCTCCTCGCTGACTTGGAAGCCGGCGGTCCGCGGCGTCCCGGCATGGGCATACTGCGCCGGCGGCTGGCCCGAGGACGTCGAGGCAGACCCAGTCAGCTGGGCGCCCGGCGGGAGGGAGGTCGACAGGCGCGGAGCATCCGACCCAGACGCCGACCCCTGTGAAAGGCTGTCACTCGAGGGGGACCCATCCACCGGTGGGGAGGGGGTCCGCTGCTGCTGGAGGTGCGCATGCTCCGTGCCCGGGCTGATGACAGCACCGTGGAGGTTGATACTCATGGTTTTCCCAGCAACGGAGAGGGAGAAGGGGGAGGGCGAGAGAAACGGCCGGCGGGCAGCCGCGTCAGGGGACCCTGGTGGCCGGATCGGAGGAGAAGACGGCGGCCGGCGAATGGGGGAAGGGCAAAAGGCTGTATCGGGTGCGGATGCGCCGAATGTGCATACACGACAGGGCAATCAACGCGCTGGGGGGCAACGGGAGGAAGGGCGACGAGGCAATGGATGGCCCTAGTCGGATGTCCATGAGCATGCAGCATGGTGGCTGATCAGACCGAGCAGATCTCAGACTCGCCGGCGGGCGCCTCGCCGGGGGAAGGGGCGCGTGGACGACTATGGCCAGGTTAGTCACGGCACAGAGGGCGCGGCCCTCACCGGAGGCAGGCGGGGCTGCCAGGCCCAGTCCAGCCCCAATCGACCGGCGGAAAAGCCAATCAGCCAACATTTTCGCTCCACACAACTCGGCCGGCTCGCTGTGCGGGGTTAAACACGCCCCCCTTCTGGGGGGCCGGGGCCCAGCGCCGCCAGCCGGGCTGCGTGTGTCCCCCCGCCCTGCCGCCGCCGGGCCAGGCAGTTTTCCCGATCGCGCGGGGTGCCCCCCGCCCCCGCCCCCGCCCCCCCCCCGAGGCTCGCGTGGGCCGCCGTCGCATCGAGACCGGATCTGGCCCCGTCTTCTGCCGGCTTGGGCGCCGGGAGGGGGAGCGTTGTCATGTTCGACATTCAGGTCTCCGCCCGTCTCGGGGAGTCGCAACGGTCCCGTGGGCCGCCGCGACAATCGTGTCCCGCGCTCCCGGCGCGCTCGCCACGCCCTGGCAGCGGCCCGTCCCAGCTCCCGTTCCCGCCCGGCCCCCCCCCCCCCCGCGCAGCCCTCTTGCCCCAGGGGGCCCCGGACAGGTGAAAAAGAATAACCCAACATCTTACCTAAATCGCCGCAGCGCCCAATCGTTGGCAGTCGATCAGACCCCGCGAAGGCCCGCCAGCCCGAAGTCCCGGGGGATTATCGGCCCTCGCACGGGGGCGCCCACATATATGGCCGCACCCACACAGCGGCGCGCATTCAGCCAGGAGATAGGGCGCGCATGCAGGGGCGTCTATTGAATGTTTCGGGCGGTGACGGGCACAGGCGCGGCGGCCATCGCCAGGTCCCGGCGAATTTGCGCGCGGTAGGCCGCCGGGCTGTTGGCCGGCGAAAAGGCCGGCTCGCTGCCAGGGTGGGCCCCGGTCACCGTCACCGGGCGCCCCTGGCGGATGGAAAATAGCCGCAGGCGGATGTGGCTGAGGCGATCATGGCCGACCATGAATGTCCGACGGCCGAGGGCCAAATTGCGCGCCACACTGCCGAGCGCCTCCCAAAACCCCGGGGCCGGATGCCGAGCAGCACCGGCCTCGCCGTCTGCGTCCACCACCGGGCCCCCGGAGGCAGTCGCCCCGGCATCCAGAGCCATCACCAGGCGCAGCTCTCGTGCGACCAATGTTCGGTAGGCGTCCGGCCGCTGGCTGAAAGGCGACCCATGGGAAAGGAGCCCCGCGACCAGGCCCCGCCGGGCGAGGGTCAGCCCGGAATACCGGCAATTGCCGGTGCTGCCATTCAGCGGCACGACAGAAACCGTGCCTGGGTCCGAGAACAGGAGTTAGACATAGGTGGCCACGGGACGCTCACAGACGAGGCCCCCCCCCCCCCCCCCCCCCGGCCCCGGCCCTCACCAAACGCACCAAAGCAATGGCCCCCACCGAGAAGGTGCTGCAGGCCACTGGCAAAGCGCAAGCCACCGGTCGATGTGCCGCCACTCAATAGTGAGTGGACCACCAGCTGCACCAGCACCGGAATCAGGATCAATAGCCCGGCCGCCAGGGAGGCGCCCAGGTAGTAGGCCGCCACCACCGGGCCGATGGCCACAATCCCGGCCGACAGGGCCATTGCCACCAGCCAGGTCGACAGTCCCGGGCCTGGAGACAGCTGATCATACTGCTGGCGGCGGGAATTCCAGTACGGCAGCCCCAGTGCCAGGCGCAGGATCCCCGGAGCCAGGGTCAAAATGGCCGCGTGCGCCGTGCGAAAGGCCGCAAACACCAGGCCGATGTGCGCCGTGAGTAGGAGCGACACAAAGTCCGCACTCAAGGACACCAAAAGGGACAATGGCAGGGGGAAGGCCCCAACACCAGCCAGGAGCTGAGGAAGCCGAGAGAGAAGGGACATTTGGACGGCTGACCAGATGGGCGAATCCACGAGCAATCCCAGGGTCAAAGCGTCAGAGAGGTGCTCAGGGAGTCCGGCACAAGTGGGACAGGCGGAGGGGAGGGGGAGGAGGGGGGGGGGGGAGAGAGGGAGCGGGGGAAAGAGGACAGGCGCACGCCGCCAGAGGCCCAAAATAGCCAGACAAATTTGCCCGATGGCATGGGAGATATACGGATCAACCTTAATGCCTCCGGGACGAGCCGACATCAGCCAGAGGATGGCCGATTCGATGCGGCGATCGCCATATTCCTGGGAAGCGGAGAGTCAGGCATGCCGCCGGGGACCGGGCGCAAAGACACCTCACAGAAGGGCACATACCACGAAGAAGCTGTACAGATGGTGGACCACCGCATCAGAGTGAGCTAGAAGCCACCGGCCAGCCAGCCAACCAAAGACAATGTCCAGCGTGAAGGCCAAGAGAGCGTCCATGAGGCTGGGCATGGAAATGTAGCTGAGTCAGCTCTTGCCCGCCCGGAGGGTGTGTGTGCGTGTGTGTGTGTGTGTGTGTGTGTGTGTGTGTGTGTGTGTGTGGGTGTGTGTGTGGGTGTGGGTGTTTGTATGCGCGCGCGCGCATCATATCGAGCGCAAGGGGAATGGTCAGCCAGAGGTGGCATTGTCACCCGGGGACATACCAAATCGACATGGAGGAGGCCAAAACTTGACCAATCGAGAGGATGCGAGCTTGTCCGGGGCCACGCTCGGCCAGGAGACGTCGTGCGCAAGACATGTCGGACAGAAGCTGCTCCGTCCAAGACATCGAGCGCTCCAGCCAGAGAGACACAAGGCGCGCACTGGTCAGCAGTGACCTCGGTGTCAACGGCACGCGCCAGTTGTTGGGAGACGGCCAGGCCCCGGAAGCCGGGCCACCAGCCTGAGTGGGCGTCAGCACTGTGGCACATGTCGCCAAAGCAAAGCACAGGGGGGCGGGGGAGAGGGCCGGGAACGCACGTGTACGTCATCCGGGCTTCGATCGCCAGATGCCGGGCGAGCTGCGCCCGACGGTGCAGCCGCCGTCCGGATGGGATGCTTGGGCTCGGTCCAAGTGTGGATGCCATCCTCCTGGGGCCGATAATGAACATACGAGGGCGACCGCGGAAAGAGCAGTGGCGGAGAGGGACCCATCGATAGAAACCGAAGAAGGTACTGTATGCCAGGGCAGAGGCCCAGAGAGAAGGGCCACCAGCGCTGTCAGCACGAGAATGAGGCGTTCGAGAATGCTGACTGCACATGTACCTCGCACGCGGTGTGCCAGAGGAGCAACAGCTGGAAGACCAGGCGCTCGACAGCTCCGGGGGAGGATTCCTCCCCGGCAGTGGCCTGTGCCGCTGATCCCCGGGCAATGTACTGATGCAGGGAAAGGCTGAGAGCCAGAAGCGGCAACATCGGTGACAGAGCCCCAGAAGCCGGGTCCCGAGGCGGCCGGGGCTCAAACACCTTGTCGGTCAGGTGAGTGGCAAGGGCCGCCCGGGGGCCGGCTGCTTCGCCCTCCGGCGCCTCCGTCGAACCAGAGACAAAGGCCTCGTGCAAGCATGCGCGGATGAAGGGCATTCGACCATGCAGCTGATGGGCCGAATAGGCGATTACATGCGAGCGAGACCCGGCCGTCCGCATGCCGCTGATGACAATCGGTAGTCCGGCATCAGACGTGGGAGGCACACCCGTCGCCCGGCCGAGCGCCAACGGGAACTCGGCTGCCATGGATCGGGCTAGATAGATGGAGGAGCAGGGGGGGGAGGGGGGCAGGAAGGTGCGTCAGCAAGGCCCCCCAACAAGGCAAGCGGCGATGAGTCGATCGACAGGAGGTAGAACTCACCGGAAAACGGCTCGGGACCGGCCTGACTGTCCCCAAGCCAGACACCCACAATGGCGGGCTCATAGCTGTCCGGCGTGCACACCGGCCCCGGCAAAACTATGGGTGCTACCAACTTCCAGGGGGACGGCCAGCCATGCAGGGCCCCAGTGGCTGCCTGCTCGGCCTCGCTCGGCGTCCGACCCTCCAGTGGCAGCACTGCACTGATGCAAGTGGCCCCGGCCTGACGCCAGCCAAGAAGCAAGCCCGGGGAGCTGCCCCACCGGGAGAAGACCAGTGTCAGTCAACATTCTGGCCGGGGAAAGCCCGGCAACGCCATCTCAGGCAGCTTGCACGCATACATACCAGTCCTGGAGCCTGAGGTCGGTGGGCCAGAAAATGATGGCTGGCCCCGAGTCGCCGGCGCTCGGCCGAGGATCGTGCGTGGCCATGTTCCAGAGGGGCGGTCAAATTAAAAGGCCCGGCAAGCGTGACACCGGAAGTGGATCCGAAACGTGACAGGGGTACTGAACCAGGTGCCAAAGGGACATCGGCGCCGGATGGCCCCACCCCCGGGAAGGTGTTAGACACCGCTGGGTGGCATGCTTGCGAGCCGCGGGAAGTGAGCAGCAGGAGGGGGAGCCCGAGGGCTGGCGCACGCCGGCTTGTTGCAGTCGCGCGTTGGAGAAGTCACGCTCTTTCTCGACCAAGCGCACGAGCGGCACCACAATTAACAGGGCAAACACCAGGCACAGTCCAGCGAGCGAGGCAAAGGTCGGCAGCTACGAACGCGAGTCAGCATCGGCAGGCGCAGGCAAAAGACCGGGGCTGTGTGGGGCAAGGGGGCATGCACCGTTTGGCGCCAGGAGATCGACGCCAGCGAAAGCTCCGAGACCCAGGAGGAGATGGAGGGAAAGAAATAGCCCGACAGGAATCCGAGCGTGAAGATCAGCAGCGTGCTTGCCTTGACAGCGGGCCTCATTGGTCGATGCCGAATGAAGAGGACACGGCAAGCCCGAATGTCCGGCGACTTCGGTGCTCGGTGGGCAGGACAAGAGGGAAAGGGAGAGCAAAGATCGAGGCGAGGACAGAGAGGGAGAGAGGTAACGAAAGGGGGGCGAGGCGGGAGTGGGGAGGGGGAGGAGGCTACGAGAGTGGCAGAGGCGTGTGCGGGACTGGTGAAGGAGGTGGATATTCTGACCCCCCTCTCAATGCGAGCCGCGGGAGGGGGGGGGGGAGATGTGGACCTCGCGCAAAAGTGGACTCCAGCCCGAGCGAAGCCCGATCACGGAGCGCATGCCGACCCGCCAGCTGCCATCGGATCACACTCATGCTGAAGTCTCCCAGCTCCGGTGCGACTGCACCCCCCCCCCCCCCCAGGTGGACACAACCGGGGGGCCCTCTCCCCCCCCCAGCCCCGCCCCTTTTGGCGAGTTTGATTGCCAGCACCGTCGCTCGCGTTAGTGTCTCTCTTTTGTATTTTTTTTTTCACCGGGCAGAAGCGGCCGGCCGCCTCTGCTCCTTTTTTAGCGGCGCATCCGCGCGAGGTTGTACTTGCGGAAGCGCTCGGCCACCATGTCGTCGGTGGCCTGAGTCGACCGAATGTCAGCCCCAGGCCCATCTGAGAAGGTGCGCTTCTCAGTGGCTGGGTGTGATATGTGCACAGCCGAGACAGGAGGAAGGAGGCAGGGCAAGGGCGAGGAAAAGTGAGTGAGTGCGGGTGGTAGGGAGGGAAGAAAGAAAAAAAGAAGGCACTATGGCGAGCGCAGATCCGTCGTACGTAGGAAGCGTCCGCCAGAATTCGGGCGGCTACACACACACACACACACATCGAGACCCGAAAGGGAAGTGGGGAAGGAGAAAGGATAGTCAGTTGCCGGGCGAGGAACACATGCTGGAAGAAAAAAAAGCAGAACACCATACCGGCCGGCAGACGAGGTGGCGAGAGCCTCGGCCTCGGCCAGGGCAGCCGCCTCCTTGGCCGACGCGGACTTCCTCCCACGGCTCTTGGCCGGCACGGCAGCAGCCGGCCGTTGGCGGAAGTTGGATGAAGCAGACATCAACCGCTGCTGTGCGGCCTCGGTACGCTCGATATTCAAAAGCTTGTTCCTGTGCGATACAAGGGGGGGGGGGAGGGAATCCCAACCAGGAGGAAGAGGCGCACGGAAAAAAGGCGAGAAAGGGATGGTTAGGGCCGGAAAAGGACGCCCCCCCCCCAAAAAAAAAAAAACATGGCTCCCGCGGAGAAAGGGGCACGCACTCGATGCCCAGGTCCACCTCAGCGACGGCCGTCAACATGGATGCAGAAATGCCGACCTCCTCGTCGTCCTGAGCATCCCTGGCTGCGCCATTGGCCTCGTTGATCAGGTTGTTCTTGTCGAGGGCCGAGATATTGGCCTCGGCCACCGTCCGATAGAGCTGCGTAATGGGATCCGCTGGGCGGTTGGCCAGGGCCGCCTCCTGTGCCAGGGCCTCCGGGTCGGCCTGGCCTCGGCGCAGGCGCATCTCTCTCTCGACAAAGGCCGCCAGGTGCTTGTTGACATCCAATGCATTGGTCTGCTTGGTGAACTCCAGGGAAGTGAGGCTGATGCGTGTGTGTGTGTGTGTGTGTGTGTGTGTAAGTGTGAGTGTGAGTGTGAGGGTGAGTGTGGATCCATCTGAGAAGTCGAGGGGGGAGAGACCGAGACAGAGAGAGAGAGAGAAAGAGGATGGAAGCATCTCCACAGGGCAGGCATGGGAAAGAGGGCGGGGAAGAAAAAGGAGAAGACTGAGCACGACGCACGCATCGTCCTTGACCTCCTCCTTCTGGGCGGCATTCGCGACCAGCAGGTTCTCTGAGGCAAGGCCTGCACCGCGCATGCGCGCGCGCTGGCGTTCTTTCGTTTCACGAGACATCTCCCTGGGAGACCATGCATCGGGGGGGGGGGGGGGGGGGCGAGTCAGTGAAATGTGACGGACAAGCAAGGGAGCCAGAAAAAAAAACACCCCCAGAGCAGCTTCAGCAAGGGTATCTTACTCGATATGCGCCAGGTCATCCTCTGACTCGTCGGGCTTGGCATCATCAGCGGCTGTGGACGTGCTGCCGGCCGTAGAAGTCGGCTCCACATCGCGCACACGAAGGTTCGACCGTGAGCGGGCCTTCTTGAAGCGGATGGCCGGGCGGCCAGAGGGCTCACCAGCCGGGACAGGGGAGTCCTCCGCGGATGACATGGACAGGAGAACAGGGGGAGGAGGCGGGGAAAGCGAAAAGCGAAGAAGGGGGAGGAAAAGAGGGGACAGGGCAGGGCAGGGGAGAGGGGGGGGGGGCGCGAGAAGAGTGGTCGGAGTTGTTTGCCTTCCCTCCTCCCGCGGAGCTCGATCCCACTTTGGCCGCTCTTTTGGTCAAAGCCGAAGGCCCTCCACAGAGAGCATGATCTCACCGCACACCCGATCTCGTCACATGATTACCAACCACCGACGCACGCCCCCCTGCAGCCGGCCCCGCTTGGCGCCCTGCGTCCGTCTTGCTTCAGGTGCGCAGGCGTCAAGCTGGCGTGGGTACACTCGGGCCCCCTGCGGCGGGCACACTGCCCGGCTCTTGGCTCTGGTCAGGGGCTGAATCATCAAGCCCGGCTACCAAAGACAGCCACAGGTATCCATCTTTCCTGGGGCGAATCCTTTTTTTTTTGTCAGAAACTCGGCCTATATGTGTCTTTTAATTTTAATGGCACTCTTTTAAACACATCTCGGCCCCTGAGACCTCAGCTAATCTCCCCCCCCCCCCCTGCTTCTCTCCTTTCGTCTCCTTCCTCCCTGTTTCCTCTCCCCACTCAAGAAACTTCCTCCTCTCCTTCTCCCCCTTCTCCCCTTTCTCCCCTCTCCCCTTCTGTCCCTTTCCCCTTTCTCCTCTTTCTCTCCTGTCCCGCTATGAGCTTCACCGATCCGTCGACACCGATCCGCTCCTTGACCGGCGACGATGCAGCCTCAGATGGCTCTGACTACAATGTCAACCCCTACCGGTCCCTGAATGACAACATCCACGGACAATACCGCCTGCCGAAGGTACTCCTCGTCTGCTTGATTTCCCCCCCCCCCCCCATCATGAGCCACTTGCCCGAGTATTGTCGATGGCACTTCGACCGACCTGCCGAATGTCCCATCTGACACTCACATCCTCTGGACCCCCCTCCCCCCCCCCCCAGAAATATTTCGACATCATCGATACCGAGCAATTCCAACGCCTGCGCAACCTGATGCAGCTGGGCTGCGCGTATTACGTCTTCCCCAGCGCGTCTCACAATCGCTTCGAGCATTCGCTTGGCGTCGGGTACCTGGCCAACACCCTGCTTGGGCGCCTGCAGCGCGAGCAGAGGCTCGACTTCGACAACCCGCGTCAGGCCACGCATCTGCTGAATTCCGTCACCATTGCCGGGCTTTGCCATGACCTCGGGCACGGCCCCTTCAGCCATGTCTTCGATGGTCAATTCATCCCCCGGGCGCGGTCCGTCTCCCTTCTCTCGCTCCCGCCCCCCCTCTCTCCCCGGGCCCATGCTCACAAGCTACCACCCATGTCTTCTTTTCATGTACTCCATCCCCCAGGCCCGGGTGTAGTTGGACCCATGAGGATGCATCGGAGATGATGCTGGACGATTTGGTGGACAAGAACTACATCGACATCGATGGCGAGAATGGCTTCGATGTGGAGCTGATCAAGGAGTTGATTCAAGGCCAGCGGAGCGCCAAGTTCCAGCATATCCCCCGGTACATCTATCAAATTGTGGCCAACGAGTCCAGCGGCGTGGATGTCGACAAGTTCGACTACATCAATCGCGACTGCCACAATGTCGGCCTCAAGACCAGCTACGACTTCGGCCGCCTGATGGACTCCGCCCGTGTGGTCAATGATGAAATCACCTTCCCCCAAAAGGAGGTTTTCAATCTGTACGAGATGTTCCACACTCGGTACAGCCTCTTCAAGCGGATCTACACACATCGGGTTGGTACGTGCACCGGGCCAAACACCCAGCCGATGCCGCGTCCATGCGTCGGCGGTTCCATGCATTGCTTCCCCTCCTCTGACTCCTCCTCGGACTCCTCGACTGGTCGACTCTCGGCTCCCCCCTTGCCATATTCCGTGTGGAACAGGCACCTCCATTGAGTACATGGTTGTCGATGCGATGCTGCTCGCCGACCAGGCCCTTGGCATCTCCTCCTCGATTGACCGGGCCGACACCTACCTGTCCATGACGGACAGCGTTCTGGATGACATTGTTCGCGCGGCGTCCGCCCCCCGGTGCTCGGCCAACTATGTCGGGGCTCGCGAGGCCCAGTGCGATGGATCCAAGGTGTCCTCCCCCGAGGAGCTGGCTCGCTCGGCGGCCCGCGTCGGGTCTCCCCATGCGCAGCAGCTAGCCGAAGCGCGGGGCATCATCCGTAACATTCGCCAGCGCAACCATTATCGCTTTGTCGGCGAGCTGTTCTTCAGCCGCGAAATCTTCAACAAGCTGGTCCGTGTGCCCATATGTGAGGATCCGGTTATGGTTTCGTCCCTTCCCCCGCCTCCCCCCCCCCCCCCCCCCCCCCCCCCCCCCCCCCCCCCCCGTTCCCGCAGAGCGACCCTCAGATCCTGCACCAGATCACCGAGACCATCATCTCTCGTCTGGAGGCCTGTGTTTCGCCCGCACGCGCCATCCTCAGCTCCGAGGAGCGCAACCACTTCCACAAGCTCCAGTCCTACCTGTGCAGCCTGCTGCAGGTACGCATGTCTCCCCCCGCCCCCGCCCCCCCCCTCCAGAGCATATTCCCTCTCTCCCTCTCTTTCTCGGATGGCTCGGATTCTGACATGCGCCGCCCCCTGCCCGCCCTGCCCCCTTCCTCGACCGCCCTGACGGCGATGCGTGTTTGTAGAAGAAGACTCCCAACATCGCGGGCGAGATTGCCAGTTTCGGCTCCAGCAACTCGTTGGCTGTGCGTGCCTCGCTTCTGGCTCCTTTATTTGTTTGCTCCTCTCTCTCTCTTTCTCTCTCTCTCTCTCGCCATGCTTTTCTTCTTTCCCCCCTCTCATCAATCTTCCCTCGCTCTTCCTCTCCCTGCCCACAGGCGGATGACGTGGTGGTCGACTTCTCGGCCATCCACTATGGCATGCGGGATCAAAACCCGGTGGAGAGGATCAAGTTCTACAACCGCCTGGACATCAACAAGGTCGCCCACATCCCCCAAATCCAGGTGTCGCCCCTGATCCCGAAGGTCTTCGAAGAGTGCCGCGTGCGCGTTTTCGCCCGGCGGCCCGACAACTTTGTCCATGTTCAGACGGCTCTCGCCAAATGGGTGAAGCACTGTTATCCCCAGGTTGCCGAGGAGCAGCTGAACTTCGCCCTCATGGCCCCGCCCGACTACACTCCCTCCCGGTCCACGGGGCCCCGGACACCGAGCAGCAGCGAGCGTGTTCACACCTCGCCGTCGGTCCGTCGGTCGCCCGCCAGCGCCTCGTCTCCCCCCACCAGCCAGATGCTCTTCTCCGAGCACAACTCGTGAGGCGGGCGAAAAGGAGGAGACACACCCTTCCACCAGGGGAGAGGGTTGCCTGACCCCCGCGGCGCCCTCCCCCCCCCCCCCCCCCCCTCCCCGCATATCCCTCACACATACACTAAAAAAAAAGCCCGAGTAGCACATCGGTCAGAGTTTGGGCCGCGCTTTTCCTGGGTCCCCCTCCCTCCCCTGGTTCCCGCCCCAGGGTGTCCAATGTTTCGTGCTGGTGTTGTGCCGCTCGGCTGTCTGGGGCGGGGGTGTGAGTCGGAGCCCCTCCACCGGCTTGGGTTAAGGCCATGCCCCGGCGACCGGGTATGTGGATTAACATTCGGTGGCGCAACCACTGGCCCCGCCAAGATCCAGGCCCAGGCCCGTTCCCGCGTTTTCGTTGGCAGATCCCAGTGCCCCAGGGGACTTGCATCGCTTTGGGCCCTCCGCGGCTACGAGCGAACGCGTCGGCCCGCGGCGGGCTCGGCTTCGCGCCGGGCGACCCATCCCCCCCCCCGGTCCTCCTGCCCTGCCCCTGCCCCCCCCCCCCCCCCCCCTCCCTCCTGGGTCTGGTTCCCGCGCTGTTTACCGATCCATCCCCTGGGCTCGGACCGGGGTGTCTGTGCGTGTGTCTAATTGCATGCAATTCGGCGTGCGCCTATTGATGCGGTGCACATGCTGCACAGGCAGTTGGGAGGGCGGCTCAATGTAACGCTCCTTCGCCCCGTTGCCCCTCCGTTTTCCAGGCACCAGTGGTCTTGTCCTGCTCGAGGTGTTATTCCCTTTCCTGTCCGCCGGCATGGGGGAGGGGGGGGGGGGGCAAGTAACGGAGACCGCTATAGCTGGCGCTTCCGTGTGTGCGGAAAACCGAGAGAGAGAGAGAGAGAGAGAGAGAGAGAGAGAGAGACCGGCCCCCAAGAAGCTCATTTCTGGTCACCAGGGCTGGGTGGGGGATCTTTTTTCCGGATCTCGTAAGGCCGTCTGCTGTTGCCCCGCCAACCGAGGACTGGCCTGAGCAGAGACTGCTGCACCCGTTGATGGTTGAGGGTTTTATGGTCATCGGGCTGTCCGCGGCGATGGTGATCCCATGCGGGGATTGCCCGGCCCGATATCACCGAATGAACCCCCCCCCCCCCCCCCCTTTGGACCCAGGTAGGAAGGGCGTGGCACTCTTCCGTCCGACCGGAGAGGACGGCACGTCAAGCACGCTGGACGTCTCTGCCTCCATGAAAGCTGGAGGTGTTCGCCCAAATCGTCCTCCTCACCCGCCCCCACCCCGGGGCAACCCAGCGGCCGGAAAAAGGAAGCCGACCGCCGCCGGGAGCTGCAACATCTCTGGAGCGAACATTGTTGTACCATCCCACGCCGTGAGGATCTCCTGTGTGAGGGGGCCCCGTTCGGGTTCGCTCACCACCTACTACGATGCCCCTGGCGCTTGGCTCCTCCTTGTGCGACTGGGCCACCGCCTCCCTCCCCCCTGGAGTGGGCCAGAGCCTGGCGCAGAGCCGTACCTCCTCCTCCACCGGGCCCGATCCCCGTCGGTCGGCGTGCCACCCGGTGCTAATGCAGATCCCACCTAGCCAAGCGCGAGCAATCCTCCCCCCCCCCCCCTACCCCCAGCAACTCCACAAGCTTTCTATCGGAAAATCTCTTGGCCTCTTGTGGGCTGAATCAAGACCTTCCTTGTAGTCTCTCTGTTTTTCCTCGCACCCCTCTTCCTTCTCTCTCTCTCTCTCTCTTCCTCCTCTTAAGTAGTGCGCCGGGAAGTGAGTTCGAAGAGAAAGACCCTCTTCTCCAGTATCCTGTTTCAGTCCTATCACGATGTTTGAGCCTTGCAGAGGCACATCTCATCCTGGGATTGGTGCTTCAAGGGCGTTCCTGCGAAAACAACAACAACAACAACAACAACAAGCAAGCAAGCAAGCAGGCTAGCAGGCAAGTAAGCATATCCATACCTGCCAACACTGTTAATGCGGTGCACTTTGGGATCCAGCGAGGAGGTGCCAGCGAAGCACGATTCTGCCGGGCAAGCAAGAGGAGGTAGGGGAATCAACCGGAGGCATGGGTAGCGCTCTTGCTTCGCCATCTTGCAGGACAGTGCCGGCTGAAATTCTCTCCCGGAGGCCATCGGTCTTGGACGGGATTTTTCTGACCGGCTGAATTTGGAAAGGGGCAGGGGGTGAATAAATATGCAGGTGTGGGCGAACATGCGGCCCCTCGTCACCAAAGCCCGGGGCCAGCTCCCGAGCTTCGGCTTATAAAGTTGTTACTTACGTTTCATGTGCGTGTGTGTATGTGTGTGTGTGAGAGAGAGTGTGTGTTCCTGAGAGCAGGGAAGGGGCCTCGTAGTATTTCCCCACCCAAGGCTAGAACGGCGATGGACCTCAGCTGTGTTGACGCAAAAGTCCATCGCCCCTCAGGCAAAATCAAGGAGAAAGCCCCATGGGTAGGAATCCCGGCGGGAGGGCGGCCTCGACAGGGTCGATCGCGCCCGGTCGATCGCCCCACTCGGCAGGCCGGCTGGCTCGGCAGCTCCGGCCGGCCGTACGCCATTGTACCCCGGGGCCTCGCCAGTCAGACGTGGGGCGGACCAGGCCCGATGCACGCGGCACGCCCGCACGGCAATGCGCCTTTCGCCATCGTGGGAGAACTCTGCGCTCGAAAACACCGTGACGAGCTTCACGCAGTGCGTCGTCTTCCTTTGGGGTGCTTTTCCCGCGTTCAGCCCCCCCCCTCCCCCCCCCCCCCTGCCTTCCCCCGCCATGCCCATGGGCCTCGTACGCTCGGTGCCGTTGTCCCAAGGCAACAGCGGGGCTCCGTTGCCCCGGGCCAGAGGTCCCTGCACCCTGGTTCCAGGGCCTGCGGGGTTCTGCTCTGCGCATGTGCGTGGTTCACAGCCGGCCGAATGGCCGAGATGGGCGCGCGAGGGGGCCTCTTTTTGTGCGACGGAAAGCTCCCTCTCGCGTTTGGGTATGAGCCCTGCCAACTGTCTGCGCATCCACGCATGGAGGCGTCGCGTTGCACTACTCGCCGAATCCTTTCTGCTGCTTTGTCGGGGAGGAGGGGGGGGGGGAATCCAGGTGCCGAGGCTACTGTGGGCTGAGGAAGTGGCAGAACCCAACCATGGAGGTGTGTCTGGGGGGGGGGGGGGGGGGGGGGCGATGTTCGTGTAGAGGAGGCCAAGAGGCGGCCCAAATGACCACCGGCGCCCGCAAGCCACAGGAACAAGCGAGAGCCGGTTTGGTCGGGGTGAAGAAAAGGACCCCGCGCGTCCGAGGACGCTTGTACTCTCCTACACGTGAGGCAGATCGCCACCGAGCAAGGGCCAGACGCTCCGGTGTGAGGGACGACTCCCGGATTTCCCGAGGGAAGTTGCTTCCTGGGGGTGCAGCTGCCAGGAGAGCCTGCAGGGGCCCGACCACCAAGAACGAGCATCGAGCATCCGGGCCCCAGCGATGTTTGCCTAGACCGCCTGAGATGGGATTCGGCTCTGCTACCCCCTTTCCCCCTCCCCGCGGGATGGATGTGCTTTCGATGAAGCCTCCGCTCCAGGACGATGTGCCTGCAGTAGCCACATCTCGGAGCAGCGCCGGCGGGGCAGGATGCGGGAAAAAAGGGCGAGCCGATCACCGCGTGCGGTCTGATGGGGGGCGGGGAGGGGAAGGGGCTCGGACGAAGTTCCGCAGTAAGGGGTCTGCGGGAGGGAGGGCGCCAGATTGGGAGAGGAACAAGCCTCGAGGAGGGGAAAAGGCGGGGAATGCCAGATGATCGATCTGCCGGGGAGGAGAGAGGGGAGGGGGGAGGGCGGGCTAGGAACGAGCGACTTGCCCTTGGGCGCCCCCCGACTTCCGGGCCAGGCAGCCGAAGCACGATCGGTGGCGGGGCACCGACGTGTGTGTGTGCGCGCGCGCACACACACACACACACACACAGGCCCCCGCGAGTGTACCCCTGCAGTAGGGGGCCCCGGTGTCGGCCCCGGTATCAGACAGGCACCGTGCCAAGGAAGAGCCTGCTTGGGTTAGATGCACAGTTTTTTGTTTGGTCGTGGGGTCGAGTGCACGACCCTCGCGGCTAAGGCCGCCGGCCGCGCGAGAGCACGAGCGGTTGAGGCCTGCATCGCGTGGTTGGGGCAGGCGTGGTGCCCGGCGGCTGGCATGGCGTGGTGGCGACCAGACCATGGGTGTGTGAGACAATTGGCCATTCCACTCCGACGCCGGCACCAGCCCGGGCAGACGGTCAGGCATGCGGGCAGCAAATTAGCCTCTTGCAGGTTTGCCCTCTTGGCAGGCTTCCTCTTGCGGGATCTCACCCGCCGACCCCCCGCCTTCGGCCTCGCATGCCCCATCCCCCGCCCCGGCCCGCCCCCCCTCCTTGGCAATATGCCATCGGCCGCGCCACCGCCACCGGCGTCGCCCCCGCCCAGGCACGCTTCCTGGGCCGGACACGGTCATGCCCCGTGTGCCCGGAACCACACCCCCGGCACTTCTCTCGGTTGTTTGGCGGTGCTCTTCTTCCCTTCCTGGCGCCGTGGCGTTCTGCCCGCCCTTCTCTCCAGGTGTCTCGGTCAGTCGCGTCGCCCTCGTGTCCCTCATGCTCTCCCTCTCTCGCTTGGTCTTGGTCGCTCATGCCTCGTGTTTGTTCTCGTCCGCGCTCCTCCCTTCCTTTGCATGCCCTCGCCAAGATTACTACCGTTCTATAAATAGACCGGCACTGGGCACTCTCCGCACCCCAGGAGCAGATATCCTTTTGCCCCATCGCAGCATCCCTCGCCGCCCCCTCCAGCACGGAACCCCGCCTGCCCTCCTGCCAGCTTCCCCTTCGGAGGTCCCCCCCCCCCCTCTGCCTCCGCGCCGCTTCCCCTGCCCGCCTCTTTCTCAACACTTGACCCAGAGCCCAAGGCAAGCGCTCGATCCCCTATCGACCGAATTCTCGCCATCTCCCTGGATCGACTCCGCCTCCTCTGCTCGGTCAGTGCTTCCCCCCCTGCCGACTTCTCGGACCTCCACTCTTCCCCTTTTCTCCCCTTCCAATGGGCCTCCACGAGCAGCTGCCAGATGGCACTTTCTACAACCCCTCGTTCGATGTGGAGTTCCTCCATAATGTCACCCCCGGCCGATACATCACCCTGGGGGCTGTCATGTTTTCCTTCTTCCTCACCGGGTTAGTTCTCCTGTATATTTGGTTCCACCGGAGATATCTCCCCTTCAAGGCCAAGCAACTTCCCATCATCTGGTTCATGTGGTTTGGTGCCATCTTTTTCCAATTCGGCACCATGGTGCGTCATCCGCCTCGCGCGCACTCCTTCAAGCCTCGGCCTCGGTCAAGCGGGCGTCCTGCTTCCCACCGCCCGGCCTCCGTTCCGCCCCCCCCCCCCCCCCCCCCCCCCCCCCCCCCCCCCCCCCCCCCCGAGCAGTCTTGCCTCACATGCTGCAATGCTCGTGGTTCTCACTCACCCTCCCTCTCTCTCTCTCTCTCTCTCTCTCTCCCCCCCTCTTTCTCTCCCCTCCCAAAGGCCGCTTTCAAAATGACCCCCTATTTCGGCGGGTGGTGGTGCTCCTTCACGTGTGCGTGTGGACCATCGCCTTTTGCAACGTCCCGCCCCTCCCTGGCACGCCCCTCGCTCCTGATCGGCGACTCTGACACCATTCATTGTTTCTGCTGCTGCTGCTGCCCCCCCCCCTCTCCGCCCGCCCTTCACACCCCGAAGACTGGCTATCGATCCCTTTCGGCTATGGGATCTTCGCCTTCTCCTTTTTCTTCCGCATGTGGCGCCTATTCCTCATCTTCCAATTCAAAAAGCAGGATCCCTTTGTGCTCTATGGCGTGTCCATCATCTTCTGGCTGCCGACGCTCCTCATCACCATCGTCCTGACGGCCCTCGAGACTCAAGGCCCTATTGTGCTGGTGCGTGGTCTTCCCGCCGGCCATGGCCACATTCTTCCTATTGGCGGATCTTTTGGTTGCTGCCCCTGCCACGATCGACATGCCCCCCCATCGACCCTGCTGTCTGCTCATGCTCACCCTGTGTCTGGGCTATTCCCTCGTGTTTTTCGCTGCCCCCCCCCCCTCCCCCCCCTCTGCCCCGCCCCTGCTGTCATGCCTCCCTCTCGATCACGTATTCCCCTCGCTGCCCAGAACGGCACCGAGGGCTGCTTCGAGCGCTCCAACTACCTTAAGTTTGCCTACACCGGGGTCATCGCGATTCACCTGCTCTTCCTGATTGTGCGTTCATCACCCTGCTCTGGGCCCGGGGAGAGGCCCCCTCCCAGCAGCAAATGTCCCCCTCTCGCCCCCTCTCCTGTGTCGAATGGCTCACACGATCTGCACTTGTCGCCCATGCTGCTCCACCGGCTGCAGCCCATTTGCATTGCCAACCGCAATGTGCGCCAGCGCTACTTCAATGAGTACAAGTTCACCCTCATTCAGATGACCTTCTACTCTTTCTCCTCGTCGATCACCCTGCTGTCGTACATGTTCCGCTGGTTCCACCGGGCCATGGGCTACCTGACGGTCCTGCCCTCGACCGTGGCCCTGCATGTCATCATTCTCATGACCCTGGTCGTGCCGCTGTACCACCAGTGCGTTCTCCATCGATCGGCGCTCCCCCCCTCGCCCGCGTCCTTTCCGCCTCGGGGAAATATTCGCACTAACTTGCCGGATGGCGCCCCCCCCCCCCCCCCTCCTCTCTCCCCTCTCCTCCCGTACTCCCCGCTCACCCACGCAGCACCTTCCATCGGAAGGAATATGAAATCGAGTTCCATAAGAGTTTCGAATTGGACTACACCGACGGGTCGTCCTCTTCCTCGCGCAAGGAGAGCTTCTCCTCGCCGACGCTCACGCCCCTCCGAGCCACCGATACCAGCAGTGCCCCGGGCTGCCACGAGTCGGACTTCGAGCTGAGCCAGCGCCGCGGCAGTGATCCCCAATCGCAGCCGCCCACTCCGAGCGCTTCCACCCTCGCGCCGCATCACCCCCACCACCCCCACCATCACCGGCCCTCAACCTACTCTCTGAGTTCCCCCTCGATGGCCAGCTCGCCGGGGCTGTCGCACTCCGAGGACAGCCAGCTGTCGCCGGATCTCCACCCAACCAAGCACCACCACCATGATCCGAAGAGCGGCTCATCCTCGGACAGTGGTTCGGACAAGGTCGGTGCCGAGGCGGCCGACATCTCCATCGTGGTGACCACCATCGCCGAGGACGACCTCAACAATGACCCGCGGGAGCCGGCCGGCCCCGGGGGCTGCTCAGTCTTCGAGGATTCCTTCGGGGTCCGTCACTCGGACTCCCACTTCGCCAGTGACTCGGACCAAGGTTCCCTGTTCGGCGACCGCCAGGGCGATGATGCCCACGCCGGGGGCCTCTCCAATTCCAACTCCAGCGCCAGCGACTATTCCGACCATGAGATGTACCATGACGGCCAGAGCTTCGCCTCCGGGAGGCGGTCTCCCGCTTCTGGCATCCGAATCAGCCTGGCTGACCATTCGCCCGCCGCGGCCGCCGCGGCAGCCACCCGCTCGCCCCCCGTGTCGCCGGCCTCCTACCGGTCGCACTCTTCTCACATGTCGCATGTGTCGCATGCCTCCCATGCCTCCCATGCCTCCCAGGCGTCGCATGCCTCCCATGCCTCCCATGCCTCCCATGCTTCCCAGGTTTCCCAGGCCTCTCGGGTGTCATATGCCCGGCCGATGAGCCCCACGCCGCCCGCGCATACTGGCACCTTTGAGGATGACCCGGAGGCGTTGATCCACTAAGATGTTCCCCTCCGCGCACCATGGGGCCTTGTGTCCTGCCGTGTCCTCGCGTGAGCTCCATTGCAGTTTGATGGCCGCCGCGAGGAGAGGCAGACACGCGTCTCCCCCTGTCCCCGCTCTTCTTACCCAGGTCTTCATCGTCCTGTTGTAATATACCATCCATTTTTGTATCTGCATGTCCCTCTCCTCGCTCCTCTTCCTCCGAGCACAGCCCATTACAGTGGAGCCCTTGTGCCGGTGCTGCCACCTGTTGCAGGGCATTCTCGGCAAAGGGCATGCCTCCCAAGGACCTGTTTGTTGCTCGCTCATGTGTCCTCGCCCGATAGAGAGACCCTTCCCGGGGTTCTCCCTGACCGGGGCTTGGAGGCGCTCGGCGCCATTCCATTGGCCTTTGGAAGGCATCGTGCGCTTACACAGGCCCCGAGCACCGACCGGGTGATGATGGTCACAGCGTACGGTATATTCTCGAACGTTGTGAGGCACAGTCACTTGTTTGCGGAGGAAGAGCATCACTCCGCAGACAAGCACGTGTGGTGGCATCAAGGACAGCAGTATGTATGTATGTATGTATGTATGTACGTGTGTGTGTATGTGTGTGGGCAGGTGTGCATGCGCACGAATACACCAAAGAGGGGGAAGGCGGGAGGGCGGGAGGGCGGGAAAACGGGGCCAGCTGCTTTCGCTGCTGCAGCAAAGGCAAAAGGGGGGGGGGAAAATGTGAAGAGGTTTTTTTTATACAGACGGTCTGGCAACCGCACAGCCACATCAGAGAGCAACCGCAAGGATAGCAAGAATGATGATGGTGATGATAAGGCAGGCAATGACCAGCATGGACTTATTGGCTGGAGATAGGGAGCAAAGGGGGCAGAGGGAAGAGGGGGAAGAGGAGGGAGAAGGTGAGCACGGGCCGGACACATGCATGGAGGGAAGAGTGCAAATGGGCACGCACACTTCGCGTCCTTGAAAACCTTGGTCATTGAGGACATTGTGTGGTTGATGCGGTTGGTGGTGTTCTCAACGTCGGCCTCAAGATCGTCAAGCATACTGTGCATATGTCGGACATGGAAAGGGTCAGAGGAGGGGCCCAGGCACCGCATGGGATTCAGCGGGAGAGTATCTGGACACGAGGGGAAAAGCACAAGCACCAAGACACGAGCCCCAAGACAAAGCGAGGAAAAAGGAAAGCAAGGCAAGGGACGGGCCCAAAGAGAGTAAAGGAGAGAGAGAGAGAGAGAGGCCGAGGAAGAGCAAACAGTGGGCGCACCGGTTGTGAAGGTCCACCTCCTCGCCGATGGCCTCGGCCACAATGCGCAGGTTCTGAACCGTCGAAGAAATCTTCTCCAGGGTCAAGTCCTGGGTCTTGACAATCTGCGATGGAATTCACAGCGCCCCCCAACACATGACCAGGTACAGTTGTGTCCGCAGGAGGAGAGGGAACAGGAGGGGGGGGGGGGGGGGGAATGTGTTGGTGAACCTTGCCAGGATGCCGAGGCAGGGCCGTTGCACTTGAGATACGCACCTGCTGGAGATCCTGGCCACCCTCGGCGAGGACGCGCTCATTGGTGGCGCGCTGGTTGGCCTCGCGAGCCAACAGCCCAGGGCTCTTGGCCGCCTGGGTAAGGGCCTGCGATGGCATTGCCGGGGCGCGAACACATCGGGACCGGTTAGCAATGTCCCAACACCATGGCTATACGGGCCAAGGAAAGGGGAAGGGAAGTCGCAGGGAGGAAGGCCATACCTTACGCTTATCGGCGGCCAACTTGGATTGGTATTTCGGGCCGGACAGCTCGGCACGGGTTTCCTGGATGACAGCGCGCGTGTTGGCCACAAACGACCGGCGCGCGGCCAGCTCGCCCGGGGCAAGGCGGAACTTGTGGGGATTGGCCTCGACGATGACTGGCCCCAGGGCGGAAAGGAGGGCCGGCCAGGCGAGGGAGAGGCCCGACGGAGGGGGAACATGTGTCAGAAAGGAGGGCGAGAGGGGCCTCAGTAGGGACTGCCGGCCGAGGAGAGAGCGACAGCGGAGGGCGCCCCCCCCCCCTCCCCCCCGAGAAGCAAACGGAGGGCCTTTGCTCCGACAGGGGGCTCCCGGGGAGGGCGCGCGCGAGCGAGCGGGCGAGTTACAAAGGTACCGATGGTTTCCTCGAGATCCTGCAGGTCATACTCAATGGTCTCGATGTTGTTCTGCAGCTCATTCACCAAATCCGTGAAGTGTGGCGTCGGGTTGGCCAGGTCGGTGATGCCCAGGAGCTTGTTCCACTGGGCGCGCTGCTCCAGCACCTGGCGGGTGACCCTCTCGACATCGCTATGTGTGGCCGGGGCAATGGCAGGGCGGGGAAAAGCCGGTTAGAGGCCCAATGGCTTGACAGGCAGCGCAAAGGGAGGGGCGAAAATGACCGCGGGAAGGGGGAACCAAGCAGGAGGGAAGAGGGAAACATACTCCTTCACGGCAAAGAAGGGGTCGTCCGACATGTTCGCTTTCTAAATGAGCCGCGGGCAAGAAAAAGGGGAGGGGAGGGCGGGAGGGGGGAGGGGGGGGGGGGCGAAGGAGTGGAGGAGGACGGCGGGTGGGCGGCGTGGGGAGGAAGACGGGATGGTGTGGCGGGCCCGGGCCAAACCGGAGTCCGCCGCAAGCTGGTGTGCTTTCGGCTGTCCCCCCGTAGGAAGCCCGCTCGGCTCAGATCTCTCTCCCCCCCCCCCCCCCTCTCGCCCTGCCCTGAGGCAAGATCCTGACGGTTCTCCAGGTGCTGCCTCTGAGGACCAGGAAAAAGCCTGCCCCGAACACCATCAGAGGAACATAAAAGAGGGATGGAGGCCGGCCTTGGCATCTACCCCGGCCTTGGCCTAGCGCCCCGCCCCCCCCCCCCCCCTCGCCGACCGCTCCTTGCTGCCCTGGGAACCAGCAAAGGAAGGACCGCCCAAACCAAGAAGACCCCCTCCGAAGGGGGGGGGGGGGGGGGGGCGTGGTGGTGCATCGGCACATCCCAGCCCTCTTTTGGGCAGGAGCGATTGACCTGGTGCGTTTCGGAGGGTGTCGGGGAGGAAGCCGCCCGCCTCCAAGGCTATCTCGGGCGCGTGCCTCAGCACTTCCCACACACACACACACACACACACACACACACGCACAGACGCTTGCACCTTGTACATGGAATTGTGTGCTTGTTCCCCCCCAGGGCACCCTTTTTTGACCGGGGCTTTCTCCCACTCACCAGGAAGAGGAGCGGCTCAAATCCGGCAGCGAGCTGCCATATCACGCCTCGAGGGTGAAGCTCACACGGCCCATAAGAGTGATATGATCACATGCTCGAGTCGGAGCCAGCCCCAGACCTGGCCTCGGCCGATCCAGCCACCAGCACGACCCCCGGAGAGGGGGGGGGAGAGGGAGAGAAAGTGAGCGGGGGCGGACCGGCGCGCACCCCCGCAGGCGCAAAGAACCAGGGCCAGAGGGCAAGCGAGGAGGCGACCGAGCGCGAGGAGGGCACCCCCAGCTGGCAGCCTCCCTGTGCGTTTCCATGTGTCATGCATGGCTGGATCGGGGCACTCCCACATACTCTCTCGCCCAGGTCGTCCGCTGCCTTTCACTATTCACGGCCCCACGGGGGAGTGGGGGCGCACGGACCCGGGGCAATGTTATTGGATTTTGGGCCCGCGCCGCCGGGGGGTGCGATGCCCGAGCGAGCCGGCGCTCCCACCCCCCCCCCCTCCCCCCGGTCCTCGGGACGCGGGAACCCGGATGGACATCCCCCAATCAAGCCGGACGACCTTAGCGCGCGCGGGCAAGGCGCACTCACCTCCGCGTAGTACCCAAGGGCGCCGGACCTGGTGCCCCCGCCTCCCAGTACGGCGGGGCACGCATGGGCGCCGGCTCCTGGCCCCTCGTCTGTTGCTCTGTGTGTGGGGGGGCGGGGAGGGGGCGGGGGATCTCATTTGTGCCCCACACAGTGACCCGCCGCCGGGACCCCCTCGAGGGATGAGCCGGGGAACAAGGGGCGAACGGTACCCCAGCTTTCGGCATCCCGGCATGCACGGAGGTTGGCGCATTCCTCACACGCCCCGCCTCCCACAAGTTGTAGAGGGGGGGGGGGGGGATGAGTTGGGCGAAACGGGGGGAGGGGGGCCGGCGTGTGCGAGTACACGCGAGTCCCCCTTTTCAGGTGCCCCAGTAGGCGGCCCGGTCCACGATCTGCCGCAAATCCTGCCGCTGCTCCACCTTTGCTGCTGCCTCCCCCCCCCCCTCCCTGCACCACCATGGGCCTCCCCAAGCTCCGCATGCTGCTGGGCCTGCTGGCGCTGGTCATGATGGCGGCCACGACGACCGCGGCCATGACCATTGACGCCTCCTCGGCTTCGGCTTCTGCCTCGGCCTCCACCTCGGCCTCCGCCTCGGCCTCCGCCTCGGCCTCCACCTCGGCCTCCGCCTCGGCCTCCACCTCGATGCCGGATGACTCGACCCCCGGGTCGGACCTCCCTCCCCCGGAGGAGGGCTCCAGCAGCTCGGACTCCGGTTCTCTCCCCCCCCCGCCGGATGAGGTGAACTGCCGGTTCCAGACCTTCGACCCCCGGTCCAACCGCTTCATTCACTTCCCCCACCTGGGCAAGATCCGCCCGACCAACGAGACGTCCGACTTCATCGCTGTCGACCTGTCGAATGATGACTACATTGCCTACTTCCGCATTTGCGAGCCGGTGGTCCTCCCCTGCGCTTCCAAGCCCGATGCCGCCACCGAGAACACCGACGCCCCGGCCTCCATCGAGGCCAACACCGCCTCCTTCTGCGAGTACCGCACCTCCACCGCCTCTTCCACCCCCATCGGCCGCCTGTCGTCCATGGAAATCCACGGCTACCCGAGCGCCGACAAGACCCGCGGCGTGCTGGTCTCCTACCGCGGCGGTGACAGCTGCTTCGACCCGGACCTCAACATCATGACCACCTACCAGGTTTTGATCACCATCGAGTGTGACCCCCAGCTGGATGTCCCCCTCACGCACCTGACTGCCTCCAACCACCTGAACCGCAGCCGGCCCTGCAGCTACACCCTGTCGGCCCGGTCGCCGTATGCCTGCCCGGAGTCCTCTTCCGAGGAGGAGCCCCTCTGCGAGGCCCAGACCGATTGCGCCTCCTGCGCCAAGCTCCCCAACTGCGGCTGGTGCTCGACCACTCGTCGGTGCAACTTCGGCTCCTCGCTCGGGCCGCTGGATTACACGTGCAATGGCACTCGCAGCTGGATCTTCGGCTCGAATGACAAGTGCGTCGACTGCTCTGCCATCACCAGCTGCTCGTCTTGCAGCTCCTCCCCGGATTGCATCTACTGCTCCAAGACCGGGTGCATCCCCCTCTCGGAGAAGGGCAACTGCAGCAACATCCTGTCGTGCTCCTGCGACCAGCCCTGCAACCGCGGCTACTACTGCCCCCCGGAGGGTGGCAAGTGCCACAAGGTCCCCAGCACCGCCGGCCTCTTCATCGGCGGCATGATCTTCTCTCTGGTCCTCGTGGTGGCCGGCTTCTTTGGTCTGTCCTATGCTCGCAAGCGCGGCATGACCATGGGCTCGGTCCTCGGTGAGGAGGGCTCCGCCGGTTCCCCGGGCGAGGGGTCCTCCATCGGCTCTGACACCCACCGCTACGACAAGCTCTAAGGGTGTGTGTGTGTGTGTGCATAGCCTCCCCTATAGTTCCTCCTGGTCCTCCCTCCCTCCCCCCCCCCTCCCTGCCTCGTGCATAGTATGTTTCTCCCCCCTCTCGTACGTGTGTCTGCACAAGGGAGGGAAAGAATACAACCTCCAAACGAACTACATGTGTCCATTTTTCTTTTGCAACATCTTTTTATGCCCCGTCGTAGGATGGGCCTCATAGCTGGGAGACAGGAGGCAAGAAGCCGACTGTATCATGGCTGGTTCTCGCCGCCGGCCAGGCGGTGCTCGACCGACCGGACAATCTGCCGCCAGCGGGACTCGGTCTCCTGCCAGTTGTCAGCCAGTGCATCCAAGACCTGGGCCCGGGTGGCGGCGGCCACCGTGCCATGTCGGGCCTTCTTTTGAGCGGCGGCGATCTCCTCGGCCGACTTGACTCCCGGGACCTCCAGATGGCGGGCCGTCAGCAGGGGAGCCAGATTGAGCTGTGTGTGTGTGTGTGTGTGTGTGTGTGTGTGTGTGTGTGTGTGTGTGTGTGTGTGTGTCGGACGGCCAAGGAAGCGGCGGAGGAATGATGGGGCAGGTCAGCGATCGACAGGGGAATGGCAGGAGCACAGGCATCGAGGAGCCATTCCTCGCACACGCACCTCGACATATGTGCGGCCCTTGCTCCACAGGCGCAGCTGAGTCAGGAGCTGGTGCCGGTCGATGGCGCCCCAGCGGCCACGGCCACCGAAGTGCGCCCACAAGCAAAGCCCGAGAGCCAGGCGCCCGGCCTGCACCCGCGACACCCGCAGCAGGCGACAAATGGCCCCGATAGACTGGGCCGTCGGGACACCAACCTGACCCTCGGTCAGCTCGGCCAGCAGACGCTCATCGGCCGACACGTCGGCCGACCGCCGGAGCCCCGGGCGAAGGAAGTTCCCGCTGGCCACGGCAGCCGGCTGGCTCGACAGCGGAACAATCGGCAAAGTGGCCGGCGCACAGGCCAGCGGCCGGAGGTCCCCGCGGCGGAGCTGTCGCCGCTCATCCTGCCCACTGGTCAGCCACACAGCCGGCTGGCAGTCCAGCAGCAGGGCCAGATCCGCCCGATCGCGGAGCTGCTGCATCGACGGATTCGGATCCTCGACTGAGGGAGATACATGGGCAGAGCCCGACAAGTCAGCCGGGGAAGTACCACCGCAGCGAGGGACCCCACATGGCGGGCGGCAGGATGCGCCAGGAGAAGCGAAGCACGCACTTGTGAAGGCAGCCAGCACGTCGCCAAAGCGAGTGTAGATATCCGCGAAGACCGCCTCATAGATCCTCTCTATGTGTGTATGGACGAATGGTGGGGCCGATGGGGACGCCCATGTGTGTAAGCAAGAGGGCCGAGGGAGATCTCGCAAGCGAGGATGGCCCAGCACACAGGGGCAGAGGGCCGGGCAAAAGGCAGGAAGGGCCCAAGGGCCAACACGTACGGCCGATGCCCCGGCGCCCATGTGCCGGGGACACCGTCAGCAAAGCCAGACGCCAGACAAGGCGATCCGCACGCTGGTAGAAGGGATGCGTTGTTGCCAGGCCCGCGAAGCGAAGGTGATCGCCCGCATGCTCGAACCTGCGCACACACCGGAAAGGGCGGCGGCGGCGGCGGCGGTGGCGGCAATTGCAGGAGCGCCAGTCGGCACGCCAGCAAGGCAGGCAGATCCGCATGGCATTCGGCCGGTGGGGCCATCACGCACACATAGTACATCACCCACTTGTCGCTGTCGTCCAGGCCGCCGGGCTCGGCCGAGGCCGTTTCGATATTCAGCGCAGTCAACAGATGGGCACGGTGGTGGAAAGCACGCGCGCCGGGATCCGTGATGTGGCACTGCCCATGTCAAAAGTCCCCGAGGGCCCTGTCAGACGATGCCACACGCGTGCCCATCGGCGAGAGGCGAGTAAAAGGGCGGGGCAGAGCACAATCCAAGACCAACGCACGCGGAAGACCGAGTACTTGACGGCAGTGTCATCGGCATCCGACGAGCCGGTGGCAAAGTTCCCTGGAAGGGCCAGAAACTCGGCCACACGCTCGCCCGGAGGCTGAAAGGTCGCGCGCTCCTGCCGCGCGCGCTCGACCCACTTCTCCGGGCTTGTCTCGTCTGCTCCGAGCAACAAGCAGTGGCGGAGGTGAAAAGCACACCGGGCAAAGGAGCGGACCGTGTCAGCAACTAGGTCACCATGCCGCATGAAAGACGCCCCCCCCCCCCCCCTCTCTCAAGGGCGAAACGCACAATCAGCCGGCAGCCAGGGACGCAGGCACCCCTCCAGGTTGGTGGTCAATGGCCCGGCCAGGACGGCATCACTTTCGGCCACCAGCAGAGGGAGCAGTGTGTCCGCCGCCTGATACACCTTCACCCGGGGATTCACATGCCCGATGATGGTTTCATCCGCGCCGAAGACTTGGTGCAGGAACCAGCCACCCTCCGGGGTTTCGTCCTCCTCGCTGTCATCCCCATCGCTGTGGCTGTCATCGCCGGTGGACCCATCGCTGCCGGACTCGCCGACATCACTGCCGGACTCCTCGTCCGGGGCCTCCTCGTCGGTGCTTTCGGCATCCTGCACGACCATGGCGGCCGGGCGCTCGGGCAGCGTGTCCACCGGGGTTGGGCAAATGCGCCGGCGCTTGGACTCCGGCTGGTCAGTTGCTTCCTCATGGCGAGGTACCTGGACTTTGGCCGGCACAGGGGCGAGGGCCGGGCCCCCGGCCCCGGCAACATCGTCACCGGCCTCAGCCTCGTCGGCTGTCCGGGAGAAGGTGCGAGGCTGGGACTCACCCGGCGGCGCGAGAGCCTCAGCCGCATCCAACTGACTGACATCGAGGTCATCAACTGCAGAGACAGACAGGTGAGCATCGGCGCACTGGTAACCGTAGGCCGGCAAATGGACAGCCACCACCCAACCATGCCCCGGGCACATGCTCGGCGGCGCGGCGCATGGAAGCCCCCCAACGTACTCAGGCGATATTCGAAGCAGGTATAGGCCAATGTGACCGTGGAAGCCTCCTTCGACTGGGCACCGAAGTGGTCATCATGGAAGGCGCCAATGGAGGCCATGGTATTGCGCGTGTGTGGCCGGGAGTAGATTGCCAAGTGGGCGAGGGAGAGGGCGTGGAGGCGGGAAGGAAGCAAGAAGGGGGAAGGGGGAGAGAAAGCAGGCGTGTGCTTGCGCATGTGCCTGGAGGGGAGGAGAGGCAAGGGAGGCTGGTGGCCAAGATCTGACCCCCGGGCGCCCGCCAGGCTGCTTCTTTGCCCGAACGCACAAGCCAGCATGGAGATCCCCCCCCCCCCCCGCCTCGCCCCCCCGGCCTCTGCGCGAGCGCGCCCCCGAGACAAGTTCAAAATCGCCACGAAAAAACGACCAACTCCCAACGGATCTAGGTGTATATTCAAGCGCGGGGCACATGCCCCGGCACATTTGTCAGAGGGCCACGGAGAGCAACGGGGGGGGGGGGGAGGGCGCGCGGGCGCGCGGGCGCGGGCGCGTGTGCCTGGGTGCGGGGACCTCGCCGGCTCGCCCACCGGCGCATCCACCTGCTAACTCCCTATGGAGTGTGGCAGAGGGCGATGAGTGTCGGCAGGGGCGAGCAGGGCCAGGGGTGCGCATCTAGACAGGAGGGCGTTCGCTCTATTGCGCGGAACGGCCGCGCACGCCCATCCACACCCACGCTCACACAGGGCGACAAGGGAAAAGGAAAAAAAAGAAGAAAAAAGATGACATCGTATGACTATGGGCGCCCTCCCCGAGAGACAGCCCAGGCAGGGGAGCTGGCCGTCCGCCGTTCGGCGGTTCCTTCCACCGGTCGCGCTCAAAGGGTCGGGAACTTGGGCGAAGGCGGTGGAGAGGGTGTCTGAGCGGCGTCCGGCCCGCCGGAGGCAAAAGTCCGATCCTCCGGGGTTGTGAAATCGCCGATCACCCGACGTGCAATCGACCGGGCTGTCAGGGCGGCGGCCAGCATGCGGCTCGGCGCGGCCAGCTCTTGAAGCTCGCCATCCGCCCGGGCCAGCCACGGGCGCGCCACGTCAAGCAGATCTAGATTCGGGTACAGCTGCCGGCCCAGGCCCTCGAGAATGATGATGCCCATGATGAGCGATGTGAAGGATGTATCTATCATGACCCGATGCACCCGGACCAGATCCAGAACGTGGCTCAGGACCTCGGACACATGGACATTACCAAGCTACTCGGAGGTGCCGGGATGTGTGCGTGTGTGCGTGTGTGTGCGCGCGGGCCGGGAAGGAGACCCAGGGGCGAGCATCGGCGATCCGCCGCGGAAAGGGTAGATGCGCAACGACACGGCCGAAGGAAGGGAGCACAGAGGCGGGGCCCATGTCAGTGGGCGATCAAAGGAACAAGGGCGGCCATATGCCGGAATGTGGCCGTGTGCCTTTGGATGCATGGAGGTGTGCATGCCCCGGCGACAAAGTAGCTGACGCACCTTGAAGGAGTTCCGTTGGACGAAATCAATGACACGAGTCATCTCCCGAACGAAGCCCTCCCGGTCGAGGACACTCTCGGGCTTGGAGCTGCGCTCGATCATCAACGTGGCCGCAAGGGCCCCACGGCCGAAGACCACCGCCGAAAAGAGGTCGACGAAGTTTGTCCGATCGGCCGGATTCAAGCGGACCACAATCCCGGCATCCACAAACCCAAGGCGCGGCTGAGTGCGCGCAACCGATGACCCAAGGCCCTGGCCGAAGAAGAGCGATTGCAGCCAGGCCAACACCCCAAGCGGACCCTCCGCCGAGGCGGCTCCCTCGGCAGGGCCGCCCAGCCGCGCGGCCGAGAAGAGATTCTCCTCCTGGGGGCCGCTCGAACCGGCAGACCGACCGGTCGAGGAGGAAAGCCGCGAAAAGAATCCCCGGATCCCGGTTGGCGGGCGTGGCTCCACCAGACTGCCCGGCTGGACGATGATATTGCCAGGATGAAGATCGGCATGCTGCGTGCGTGTGTGTGGGTGTGTGGGTGGGCGGGTGGGCGGGTGGGTGTAAGTTCCCAATCCAAAATGGGGGAACCCGAGCAAAAAAGGAGCGCGCCGGCCAGCTGGCGGATGGCCCAAGCCAATGAGAGCAGGACCATGCCAAAGAAAGGCACACCGTGGCCGCCACCACACGTACAATGTAATTGTCCACGAGGATCATCTTCAGGAAGGCCGACAGCCCGACGGCCGACAGCGATCGCGTGAATTCATCCTGACGTTCGAGGAAACTACCCACGCGCATGTACACGCACGCAGAAAGGCACGAACAAAGGGACAAGGAAGGGAGGCACATCCAGCCCCGATGCATGGATCAAGGATTGTGTGTGCCCATCCCGGCGGCAGGTGCTCTTGTCAGCAAAAAAAAGAAAAAAAAGAAAAAAAAGAAACGAGCCCGGCGGCGGCGGCGGCATCCTCACAAACCCAGGGAAAGGGGGGCACGGCAGCGAATGCGAAAGGAAGGGGCGAAAAAGGGAAGAGCAAAAGAGCCAAGCACAAGGCAAGAACAAAGTGCCCCACGCACTGGCTGATGGGTATCCCCTGGAGGAAGGTCTCCACGACAACCTCGCGCGATACATACGGCCATACGGGCATCGGGAAGGTGACTTCGGACACGCCGTCGAAGTTTTCCAAAAACCGATCCAGATGCCGGGCCTCCTGACGGAAGTCCATCTGCTCGCGCATCACCTGGGCAAAGGTGTTGGCCGCGCCGGTCACCTGGATCCAGGGAATGAGCCACTCGCCGGTGGCCGCCGCGCGCTGGATCAGCCTCAAGTCCCGCTCGACCACCTTCCGCACGCCGGGATGCTGGATCGTCACGGCGACCACCTGCCCGGTTTGACGCAGCACCGCCCGGTGGACTTGAGCAATGCAGCCAGCACCAACGGGAACATCCTCAAAGCGACTGAATACCGAGGCCAGCTGTGCCGGCGCCACGGCCTTCGCCAGGGAGGCCCGGGCCACGGCCGCCGAGTGGGGCTTGACCGCGCTGTGCAATCGCGAAAGGGCACTCGCCGCCTCGGGGGGCAGCATGTCCGGCCGGGTGGCCGCCCACTGGCCGAGCTTGATGAATGTCGGCCCGCATAGCTCCAGGGCCTCGGTCACAAGGTGCCAGAAGGCGGTGCGCAGCCACACCGGCGAGTTGTCTGACAGGCAGATGGGCGCGGCCAGGAGGACCGGCGACAAGACCGTCGCCAGGAAGGCCGCCCGCATGGAATCCACCACGCAGGTGGCCAGGAAGTCGGCCGACCGGGCGGCCAGGGCACTGGGGCCGGCCAGCCGCGGCGACCACCTGGCCCCGGGGTCGGCCCGCGCCGAGGGCACCAGCCGCCGACGATAGCGCCCGGTCACCGTGGCCCAGGCCATGTTCCAGGTGTCGGTGGCCGAGCGTTTCAGCGCCAGGCCCATCTGCCGGCCGAGCCCCGGGCGCGCGCGCCGAGGGATGATCAGGCAATCCCGCTGCGGCCGGGCCAGGGCAATGGCCGACACCGGCAACCGGGGGGGCTTCCGGAGCCCCGGCGTGCTGGCCACCGGCGGAGGGGTGCCCTCCGGCGGGCCGGTCCCCTGCATGGGAGCGGCCGGGCTCCCGGCACCGGTCAACTGCAGGGAATCCTCCCCCAGCAGCAGCCGGCTGAGGGAGCACGCGGTGAAGGCCCCGAGCCGATGGATGCACGCGGTGAGCAGGTCGGTCTCCGAGCGCACCACCAAACGCAATGGCGTGCCGGAGCGCGAGTCCAGCACATGGCGCGCCGGCAGCCCCGGGCTGGAGGCCGCATGCGCCAAGCGCCGGGTACCGGCCGCCAAGCCGGCCACCGGCCTCAGGCAGGAGAACTCCGTCGGCAGGGAGAATGCCCGGTCGGAGCACACCTCCACCGGGGCGGCGGTCGATGCGGCGGCCGCCGCCGCGGCTTTGGCCGCCTTGGTCCCCTGCGGCACGCCGGGATCCGTGCACGGGGCCCCGGTGGCCGCGGCCAGGCTGCTGTAAACTTGCACCGCCAGCCGCACCGGCAGGGCCTCATCATCGCAGGAGGGCGGCGCGAAGGGGGCATTCCGGTGTCGAACCGTGGCCCAAATGGGGGTCAGGTTGTCCAGCACCAGGCCGGAATTCGGAGCCAAGGCCGACACCGCCAGCTGGTAGCGGGCCCCCTCCGACAGCCGGGGGACCAAGTACCCGAGGGACGGCCGTCCCAGCGGCCGGAGCCCTCCCAGCAGCAGGTACCGGCTGGGATGGTAGGTGGCGTCCGGCAGCGGCATTGACGGCAGCCCGACGGGGGGGGTTTGCAGCAGGACGGGAGCAGGGCCAGGATCGGGCGGCAAGCGGCGGAGAGCGGGAGGAAAAGATGGGAAGGAGAGAGAGAGAGAGACAGAGAGAGAGAGGGGGGGAGCCAGGAGGGGAGGGAGGGCGGGTGTGGGGGAGGAAGGCAAACCGTAGAGAGGGGTGGCCCCGAGAGCCGGCCCCCGGGGGCATTAGGCGTGGTGCTTTTTTCCCCCCGCCCCCCCTGCCCTGCCAGTCAACGAGGGCGGCCGCCTCTCTCCTCGCCCCTCTCCGCGGACCCCGGCAGCAAGATCTTGGCCAGCCCAAAGCCGGGCAGCTTGGGCGGCCGGCCGGCCGGCCGGAGGGGGAAGCGTGCCGGGCCATCTGCCCGGCTCCCCGCGCTCATCCCGAAATCTCGCCAGAAAAAAACACTGGCCACTTCCCCAGCAGAGCCGGGCCCCTGCCGGCAGCCCATCTGCCAGCCGGCGCCCAACTGGACCTGCCCCGGCGGAGGGGCATTTCCCGGAGGGCCCTCCTCACCACCATCCGAAACCGGCGGCCCCGGACGCGAGCATGTCGCATGTCGGACCGCGCCGCCGGCGAAAAAGCCCGACACACCGAGCGCACCAAGCGCACACGCGTCCACAGTCATGGCACAGGCCCAACGTGCAGATCATTTCAAGACACCGAGGCACACCCGCCCGCCCCGACGCACGGGCGACCTCGAGCATCGGCTCCCGCGCCCGGACCAACACCAACACGTTTTCCGCGTTCCTCTCGGTGAAATGTTTTCCACCTACCTCACCCCCCCCTCCCCCCCCTGCCGGCCCCGAGAGCGCCTCCGCACACCAACAGCATGCGAGGACCCCAGATGCAAAGGGCCCCGACCGGGAAGCCCGCAGGACCCGGCGTCCGAGAGCGCGCCGAGAGCAGGACAAGATGCCCTAGAGGCTAAACACGTGCGGCTCGCCGTTTGCGCGCGGCCGCCCCCGGTGTTTCTCGCGCCCCCCGCGCCCCACTCCCCCGGGAGGAGGCTCGCCGCCGATCGAACAAGGGGCGGCCGGCGGCCGGGGGGCGGGCCCGGCTCCTCTCGCGGCGCATGCCCGCTGCCCCAACAACCGCCCCCGCGCGCCACTCACCGCACACGGCGGAGCCGGGACAGCGCGCGCACCCGACGCGGTCGGTCCCCGCCACAAGCTCCCAGCGGATGACACGAGCGTTGGCACTGGGCCCCACGGCTGCCGGTTGACACGCCTACGTCGGAGGGTGCAAAGCCGGCATGCCCCGACGCATTGATCGCAACCAAGGCTGGCCTGGGGCAACCGGCGCATGGTCCAAACCGCGGGGGGCCCTCTTGCGAACAGCATTTCCGGATACTCTTAACCGTCCCTCGCCACACGTAACTCCAGCCTCTCGCCCTCCTGGCTTTGTGCATGCGTGCCCGGTGAGTGCTTGCATGAACATGCATGCTGGCGCTTGGTCTTCCCTCCCCCCCCCCTCCCCCCGGCGCCAGAGGCTGATGCAGGCAGCTCCGGCCCGGAACACGGCTGGCACCTCCGGGTGTTGGTGGGCGGTGGCGCACACACGCCCAAGGTCTATGTTGTATTCCGGACCCTCAGCCCACAAGGAGAAAGTCCTGTGGGTGACGACCCACTGGCGGCCACACATGCCTGGCACCGGGACCCGCCGGCACCCGGGGTCGATGGGGCTGCTCTCCCGAGCCGCGGCAGATCCAGGGGCCCTTTCGTCGACACTCGCAACGCGCTGCCCCTGCCAAGGGCCTCTTCTTCTAGTCCAGCATCCCGGCCAGGGCCACCTTGCAGTGGGTGCTCGTGGGCCGGTGCCCGGCGGACACGTCGCTGCAGTTTGAGAAAAGGGCCCGCAGCCGGGCATGCCGGTCGTCGGCCGGTGTCAGCCCCAGCATGTCCAGCGACGGGAGGTCCAGCGTGTGGCCGGCAGCCACCGACGAGCGGATCTGCTCGAAGGTCTGGCCGGCCCACGGGACTCGCCGGGTCAGGCACTCCCACAGGACCACCGAAAAGGCGAAGACATCGGCCGGGAGGCACTCGTCGTCGGGGAGCTGCGCGTGTCGGGCGAGCGAGTTGAAGATCTGCCCGGTCCCGCGCCGAGACGTGCATTGGCGCCGCGTGAGGCACGGCGCGTGCGCGCGCGCGCGGGGGGGGGGGGG